GGGTGGAGGAGGGAGGGGAGCACGCGGGGCCTCGTCCGTGGCTCGGGGAGGGGACGGCCGGAAGCAAGCCAGAAGGAGAGACACGTGAGAAGCCGAACTCAGATGCCGTCTAGGAAAGAGAACAACTAGCAAAACACAGGAAAACCTTCAACCTCGCAGGTGATTCGGGCATGACGTGCGGCCAGGAAAGATTTAACGACGACCCTGAGTGTGGCGAGGGCGTGGGAACATCTGTGGTGTGCTGTCAGTGGGAAAGCAGCCTGGCCCTGACCAGTGGGAGCAACGAAAATGTTCTCTCTCTCTGAGGGGGTAGTTCTGCCTTAGGCAGCTTTCCGGAATGTGGACTGGGGGTGGGGGGGAGTGCTGGGAGGGGTGTGGGGGAGCCACTGTGCTTGCATCGCTGTGAGGGGGTTAGGGGGTGTTGGGGGGGCAGCCGGGGCACGAGTGTCACGGCCCACGTGGGTTTAGCGGTGTCCCTTGGCAGCCGAACGTTGAGAGAAGCAAGGGGGCCGGTGTGCCCGGCCAGACGGGATGTTGAAAGCCGTTCAGCATTCGACATTGAACATTCAGACGTTCAGCTGCCAGTTTTAGCCGTTGCTCGCTAAAAAGTGGAAATGACCCGAACCTCCACCGACCGGCAAGTGCAGTCACCGCGCGTGAGGAGTATTACGTGGCCATCCAGAGGGGTGTGATGTCGACACCCGCTCGCCGAGGGCCACATGCTGTGCGATCCCACTTCCGTGAAACGTCCCAGATGGCTGCATCAGACAGAACTCAGGTGGTGGTTTTCCTGACCGGGGAGCGCGTGCTTTGGGGGGATGAAAACGTTGAGGAGTCGGACCGTGGTAACGGTTGCACGCCTCTGTAAGCGTGGTGGACGTCACTGAGCGGTCACGTTTCGAAGGGGTGACTCCTACGGAGCTACGTCTCCGTTAAAAATCAGGTGGGGGGGCCACCACACCCTTCCCGAGAATTAAACAGGGCACAGGCGAGGGGAGAGTAGCCTAGAGCCCCAGGCTATAAAAGACGGCTCGACCGGGTCCCGAAACAGGACGCAGCTACACATGCTTCGAAGAAGTCACAAAAGGCGCGAGTAAGCGGAGAGTGGAGAAATAAGGGAAACGTGCCACACGGGAGCCCTCCGACCACGGTGAACCTTGGGCAGAGGTTTTGGGAAGACTTACCAGGGGCAGAGAGAGCCGTGTCGTACGCGATACCTGGAAAGGTGGTTCGTCACAAACGCCGGCGGGACAGCCCAGGGGCCTTGCACCCAGAGGAGCCTCACACTGGCAAAAACCCGTAGAGCTGCCGGGAAGGCTAGGCGAGTCCGGTTCCAGCTGCTTTCGGGAACCCAGTGAGGATAAAGGTACCAGATTTTCCTCACATACAGCCAGCGACAGACTGCGGCTCTGGCCAGCGTGGTGAGGCAAGAAAAGGGGTAAAAGGCATCCGTTTGGAAAGGAAGAAAAGTCTGCGTAGACTTTCCTTCACGTGGGAAGTTTCAGGGCTCTGCCACTGGGCTGCTAGAGCCAGCGGTTGAGAACGGCCATGTACGAGGTCGGTGCCCAGAACTCACTTGCATTCCTGCAGGCCAGCAGTGAGCACTTGGAGAGGGAGACTTAAGCACTGTTTACAGTAGCACCAGATAGTGAAATACTGGGGATACGTTTGGCACCTGTGGCATCTGTGCCCTGAAAGCCACAAAGTGTTGCTGTGAAAAATGTCCATAAACGAGAGGCGCCGTCGTAACGGGACTAGAGGGGTCGGGATCGCTTAGGTGTCTGTTCTTCCCACGTTGTTCCACGGATCTGGCACAGCCCCGATCAAAGTACCAAGAGACTTTGGCAAAAAATCGACAAGCTGATTCTAAAGCTGATACGGAGGGGCACCTGGGTGGCTCAGTCGGTCGAGCGTCCGGCTTCGGCTCAGGTCATGATCTCACAGTCCGTGAGTTCGAGCCCCGCGACGGGCTCCGTGCTGACGGCTCGGAGCCTGGAGTCTGCTTTGGATTCTGTGTCTTCCTCTCTTTCTGCCCCTCCCCAACTTGCGCTCTGTCTCTCAAATAAATAAACATTTAACGAATTTTTTTCTTTTTACATTTATTCACTTTTGAGAGACAGAGACAGAGCACAAGCGGGGGAGAGGCAGAGAGAGAGGGAGACAACAGAATCCAATCCGGAGCAGGTTCCAGGCTCCGAGCTGTCAGCACAGAGCCTGATGCGGGGCCCAAACTCATGACCCGTGAGATCATGATCTGAGCTGAAGTCGGAGGCTTAACTGACTGAGCCACCCAGGCGCCCCGATATTAAAAAATTTTTTAACAAAAAAATAAAATTCACATGGAGATACAAAGGACCCAGCATGGCCGGAACGGCTTTGAAAAACTGAACAAAACTGGAGGACTTTTCCTGCCTGATCCCCAGGAACATTACAAACTTACGGCACAACAGTGAGTCGTTGGCACAAAGACAGACACCCCCAGATCCCTGGGATGTGGTACAAGGTCTAGAGAGAGACCACAGATTTATGGGGAGGGGGTTTTCAGCAGAGGTATTGAGGCAGTGCGGTGGGTAAAGGATGATCCTTTCAGCAAATGATGCCCGAACAGATGGCGAGCCCTATGCAAAAAAAGAAAAACCCTTTATCATTACTTCGTACCACGAACAAAAAGTAGCTTGGGACGGAAGACCTAAAGTCACAAAGCTTCTGGAAGCGCAGGAGGCAAGTCTTAGTGGCCTTGGATTTGGCCAAGGTTGTTTTTTTTTTTTTTTTTTTTTTTAACGTTTATTCATTTTTGAGACACAGAGACAGAGCATGAGCAGGAAAGGGGCAGAGAGAGAGGGAGACACAGAATCCAAAGCAGGCTCCAGGCTCCAAGCCATTAGCACAGAGCCCGACGTGGGGCTCGAACTCATGAACCATGAGATCATGACCTGAGCGGAAGTGGAACACTCAACCAACTGAGCCACCCAGGCGCCCCATGGCCAAGATTTTTTTAATAGGACAGAAATAATTATAAATCAGACTCCTCAAAATTAAAACCCTTTAAGTCCTCACTAAGCATTGTTAGGAAAGTAAAAAGGCAAACCACAGACTGGGAGAAAGAATTTCAACGCACATGCCGGACAGAGGACTTAGAACCAGAATATGCGGGGAGCTTTTCAGCGGTAGGTGGAAGAATGGCCCCCCCAGAGATGCCCAGGGCCTGCTCCCTGGAGCCCGTGACCGCATCACATGTTACAGCAGGAGGGACTTTGCAGATGGAATTGAAAAGTTTGAGACCGGATTGTCCGGGGTTATCCAGGTGGACCCACGTGAGCTTTTAAAGGTCAGCCTGCCTTGACCTCGCTGGACTTGAAAGTGCCTCCGCCGCGACGAGCAGTCCCTAGAAGGGGCGTGTGGCGCACGGCTGGCAGGGGACAGACCTCAGGCCTGCAAAACCCTGCAGCCGAGTTGGCCAACAACCTGCCTGAGAAGGAAACGGGTTCTCCCCCCCCAGAGCCTCCGGGAAGGAAGCAGCCGGCCTGCCACTCGACTGTAGCCCCGCGAGAGCCGTGTCCCCTCCCTGCCCACCAGCACTGTAACACACTGTGTTATTTTAAGCCACTGAGTCTGTAGCGATTTGTTACGTGGCAACGGAAACCTACACAAACGATATTCCGGTAACAGAAGACCAATGCTCCAAATAAAAAGGCAAAAGATTTGAACAGACGCCTCCCTAAAGAGGATTCACGGGTGACAGACCCAAGTCCGTGAAAAGACGCTGGGCATCGTTGGTCTTCAGGGACACGCACATCGAACCAGGACGGCCGAGAGTGAGCAGACCTCCCGTCGCAGGGGTGGGCGAGGATGCGGGGCAGCCACCTCACTGCTGGCGGGAATGCAGAACGGTGCAAGTGCTTGGCGAGCAGTTGGGCGGCTTCAAGAACATTACTCACCCCCCTCCCCCCGTATGACCCGACCTTGTCACCCCCGGTACGTGCTCAAGAGAAACGAAGACCTGTCCGTTCAAAGACTTCTCGTGATGGCTCATCGCGGCCTTGTTCGTGACAGCCAAAAATCGGAGACGGCCCCGAGGCCCGCTAAACCAACCGTGGCACGTCCACGTGATGGGAAGTGCTTGACAGTGAAGCCGGACACGGCGCTGAGGTCCACGTGGGTGAGCCTCCGCGATCCTGCTGACTGATACTAGCGGGACGACGCGCATGTGCCGGACGGTTCCGCTTCCGTAAACTTCCAGGAAACAAGCTGCCGACCGCAAGCAGACCAGTGGTTGTCTGGGGTGGGGCGTGGGGGCACGTCTCCCACCACGTGCCTCCGATGCCAGGCCCGGCCGGGCGGACGATGCTGCCTTCGGACCGCGAAGCCTGCCCGCCCCACCCGGGAGCGCCAGGGGGCCCTCAAGGATGGAGTGGCGCAGCCCTGGGACACATCCTCCCCGCCCTGAACCCCAGAAGGACCAGCAGAAGCTTGATTGCAATGCCCCTTTTATTAAACACAATTGCACTTTGGAGCGAGGGTTTCCCTGGGTCCTGCGAATCTTTTGGAGGCCCCGCCCTCCTGCCGGCAGGCAGCCCCACTGGCTGCCGGGGCGCGGTTGCCCAGACGGCAGTCCACAGTGGCCATGCAGCTCTGTCCTTTCATCTGGCGTGACCTCGGGGTGCAGGGACAGCGTCCTCACCCCGAGCACACTTCTGCCGTCCTGGGCAGGCGGCGGATGACGTCATACACGTTCCAGTGACAGGCTGCGGGGAGGTAAACCTTCCAGGAGAGCATTGCAAACACAAGGCAAACAGGCATGCTGCTGGCCCAGAGCCCTGGGGCCCGGGAGGTAGACACAGGCAGATCTGGGCATTGGAGGGACGTCCGCCGTGAGACGTGGGCCAACTGCTTCCGACCCTGAGCCCCGCCCCCCACATCTTGACTAAGAGCACGGGTGCTGGGGTCGCTGCGAAGTCCCGTCTTTTCCTGTAAAGGATCAACGCACCACCGGCCCCTGGTTAAGACCAGCTGATGACAAACTGTTCTCCCATCGTCAGTGAGACAGGGATGTCCAGGGTCTGCAAAAAGAGAAAAAAGAAAACGTGACCGCCAAACCGTTGTTGACAGAGGTGAGGCCCGAGTGCTTGGCAGACAGGAGCCTAGGCCCGGGCGGGTGGTGCCCTCGGGGTCTGCCCCAGCCCCTGGAGGCTTCTGGCTCTGTTCCTCGCTGGCTGAGTCTGCTTTCAGCATGGCCCATAAGTCACCATCGGTGTGGACACAGGCAGAGGAAAGGCCCAAGCTGCAAGGGGGCCCGTCCTTCCCTGGGGACCAAGGTCCTTTTGCCCTCGTACGGCCCAGCCGGCCGGCACCGGGTCCCCAGGGTCCTTGGTACCTCCCCCTGCCCCTGCCATCCTTGGGGACAAGCCCTCTGGCCCCATCTGCGGGGCTCTTGCCTTCGTGTCAGGGCTGTAGGTGAAGTTGGAGACAGGAACGCCATTGGAGAGGACCTGCTTGGGGGCCGCGGCCACCCCCAGGACGGTGGCCTTCCTCAGTTGCAGGCCGGCCCCCTCGCTGGTCACGTGCACCAGCTCGTTCACAACGGTGTTCTGGTCAAGGGGAGAGGCGGAAATGGTCAGCAGAGGGCCCGGAAAGATCTGCGGGATGGGCCCCGCGCACGCCCGGACGCCGGCAGGTGCATGGGGACCGCAGTCAGGGCGGCCAGCGCCTGGGCCCTGCTCGCTTCACTTGGCTGGGACAGGGACAGGGGGCCCCGGCGACCCCCCAGCCCGGGCGGGTCCCGACACTCACATTCTTGACAAGGAAGACGACCTGTGTGTAGGCCCCACGCTCGAGCGTCTCCAGGCTCTCCCCGTCGTCCCAGAACAGCTCTCCTCGGGCCTCCCCGTTCGTGGTCAGGGCTGCGACCAGGGCCATGGGCTGCTTTCGGGACTCCGTGGTTGTGAGGCCAAGGCCCTGGAAAAGCAGGTGGCACCTGTCACCATCTCAAGCCTGGTGGAGGCCTCCACAGCGGGGACAGGAAGGACACTGGGCTGGGATGGCTCCGTGCTGCAGGAAGCCGGGACCCAGAGGACAGGCCACGGCTGAGGGGCTCGGACACCCGTGGCGAGCACTCCGGCCGAGGCAGACACCCTGGAGGACGTGAGAGGCCCACGCACGTTTGCAGACCGTTTCCTAAAAAGAGCCAACGGAGCAGGTGCCCCTCCGCCTGGCACGGCCTCGGATCTGTGCATCCTCAACCCTCACACGCTGTCATCTCTGCCCGGGGCTTTGGGGACGGACCCTCTACTGGACAGACAGGCTCAGGTGGCTGGCCCGGGTACCTGCAGGGGGATGATGTGCCCGGCCCGGAGGTGGAGGTTGATGGTGTCCAGTGGGGCTGGCAGTGTCACCCACTGTCCCCTGCTGTGGATGGCAGGCGTGACGGGTGCGGGAGGCGGAGGCGGGAGGCTGCCGAGGGCCTCTGCTGGCACCTGGAGGGCGGCGTCACGTCACCAGGAGTGGGAGCCTCAGGCTCCGCGCGGGACCCCGCAGGCCCAGCCCAGACAAGTCGTTGGGACAGAGGCCCTGACCCAGGGCTTGGGGCGCAGCAGGACTTTGGGAGAATTGGAGTCCTGGGGAGCTACCCACTTGGGCCTCAGTTTCCTCATCTGGAAAATGGGTCACTGCAAGGACCGCGTGGGAAGATCCACATGGAGCCCCACTCAAGGGCCACAAGCGAGCTCCCTTCCCCACGTGGCCCACATGTGGCAGGAGGGAGGGACCCCTCGAGGGCCCACAGGACTCACCGTCTGCAGGTCGTACCATGTACCAGCGGGGAAGTAACCGGTCACTTCAACCTTCCCGGCCTCGAGCACCGGGGTGATGAGCAGAGCTGCTCCCCACAGGAACTGGCGGTCCACGGCCCAGGTGCGGGGGTCCTCGGGGAACCTTCGCACGGGAGGGGTGGGCTCGTGGGCCTGGTGACCTCTGAGGTCGGCGTGTTCAAGGGGCCTCGCGGAAGCCCCGGGAGCCGGTTCCCGCCGCCCGAGCTTGGC